ATGCTGTATCCGTGTTCGGTGTGGTAGAAGTAACAACTCATTTGGGGTATGAATAGTTCATTTATTTCCATGATAACCTAGCCCAAATTGAAAACTGTTGAAACACAAATTTAGTCATTTCAATAAATGTATTTCATTGAAAATCAAATTCCAAATTTCGGGTTGGAATTTGGTATGTAGGGTCGAAACATATTTATAAGCAACTTTTTCAAATAACTCATTTCTGTATTTCCAACGCAAAGCAAAATATTGAGAATTTGCCCTTTTTGCGGGATTGCAATAGGCAGTGTGCCACACTGTAGGTGAGCGTTTACATTCATATCGAAAAAGCCTGCACCATTTCCTCTAGTTTCATCTGAAATAACGATATACGAATATGATACCTAGGAAGAAATGACAGGACGAAACCAGCTGGTTGAAACTGAGCACACATCCGGATTACTGAAAGTTAGTTGGGAAGTACCCCTAAGGATCAGTTTTAGGTCCATATCTATTTCTCCTGTATATAAATAATCTTTTCCTCTTCCTCTTCTTTTCCTTTCCTTTACTTTATTTGTCAACGACAGTGCCATTCTCTGGCACTTTGAAGATGTGAATTTGCTTCAAAAAAATGTTACAAGAGACCTGCAATGAATCAAAATGTGGTTTGCACTCAGGTCTACAGCCAGAGTTAGGTTATGTAGCGGCAAAAAATTTCTATTTTGCTCTCATTGAGTCAAACTTGAGTTTTGCAATCCAGTTCTGGGGTTCGTGTAGTAATGAACTCTTTGAGACTGTATTTTTGCTGCAAAAGTAAGTGGTGCGGTCTGTGTGCTAAGTAAATAGGTTGAGTTCCTGCAAACCTCTTTTCCTGAAACACGGAATACTGTAACTAACCTCAATCTACGTTCAACTACATGTCTCATTTACAAGAGTAAATTTTTATATGAAAATAATAATCGCACTGCACGAAATGCAGTGAATTTATCATTATTCATCCCTTAATCCACACTGATCAAAGACTCAATAATTTACGTTGGAGTAAAAATGTATAATAAACTTCCTGAAGATATAAAGACCATGGATTCTCTCAAAACTTTTAGAAAAAAGTTACATGAAAGACTGGCCTATTACAATCTGACAAACCGATATAAAATTGACGGTGCTTATATGTGATAATATATGCGTACTTTCACCTAGATGTGATTATTTATTTATATGTATTATTTTCATGTAATTATGTTATTGTATATCTATCTGGATATAGTTATTTACATGTTCTCTTTTAACCAGTGTTTGACAATATGGTTCTGTATCTTGGATAACAAAGACATTCTCTCTCTCTCTCTCTCTCTCATGTGGGCAGGCCCATATTTGCCCAATGTATTCATTGAATTTAATCAGTGTTTCGAAAAGTTGCTTTCAACATATCAATCAGTAATCAGCGATGGATGTTTAATTTCGTGAATTGAACTTTTTGAAAAGATTGGAGCCGTTTGTCACGGAGGTAATTTGAGCAAAACTGCTTGACCGAGATAGCGAACCGAAACTTTCTACACGGTTCAGGAACTTTGCGGAACTTGTATAACTTGAATCTTCTGCACTACAATTACTTTTGTTGTTGAATTTCATTTCTGAAACTATCCGGAGCTACGGCAAAGTGTCACCGCCATGTGATATTCTCTAATATCAGTTTGACAAAGTACAGTCTCTGGCTTATATCCGAAAAGTCTGGAACAAACTTCATTCGATGAATATGTAGGACGTGTCCTTCGAAAGTTCACGACAAAGGGTTCAATGAATACGTTATTGGAATGCCTCTGAAGATGAATTAGGGACGGTTGCGATCAAACGAGGGACTTATTGGAATGAGAAAAGGAAGCTTGAAGCGAACAGAGAGAACACAAGAGAGATGCGACAGTATTGCCAAACAACAGGAACAGTGGGCCGTCAGAAACTACCGCAAGAAAGAACTGCCAGGAAAAGGAATGTTAGCAACAAAAATAATATGTAGTATGCCAGTGTGACCAATGATAATGTTCTAACGAATTTCACTAATAACTGCATTACCTGAATTCTTGGCATCTATGGCGTTTATGGCGTCTATGTGGACTTCAATATTGAAGCTCCAATACAAAGGCCACAATCTCATTATAATCTCATTATAATCTCATCAATAATATCACAATTGCCAATTTTTCAAGAAATCTGTTGAACGAAGATTGGTCAGGTATATACTCGAATATAGATGTAAATATGGCTTTCCAGTCTTTCATGAACATATTTTTATATAATATAAATTCGTGAATTCCAAGTTTGAGCGAATTCTCGTCTTCTTCTTTTGGATTTTAATTCATTCTTAACGACAATGAAGTATATTATTATTATTATAACATATATCTTGTGAATATTTAATTCTGTACAGACATTTTTCCGAATACTCTTAAAATGGGTAAAGTCATTCCCATTAATAAAAAAGGCGATCCAAATAACATAACAGATTTCCGACCGATCACAGTGTCATCTGTTTTCTCTAAGATCTTGTTAAATATGTGTATTCGAACAGACTGAACATTTATCCGTTTATTTGAACGAGAACAACATTACATTCAAAAACCAATACGGTTTTCAGAATCCAAAGTCGAACGTCTTGAACTCAATTAGTTGGCAAAAGTGCCCTATTGGAGTTTTCTGTGACCTCAGTGAAGCATTCGACTGTGTTGATCACGAAAATCTTTGTGTAAAACTTTATAATGTTGGAAATGCACTTACCTGGCTGAAAAAGCAACACGTCAGTATCATTAATGTTAATAATAATGTGAATAAGTTATATTCATCCAATTATGAGGATATTGATGTCGTTGTCCAACAGGCCTCAGTGTTGGGCCCTAGTTTTTATCATATATGAGTAATATCAATCCATCTCTACATATGCTCTTTTCCACATTTTATGATGATGTTACTGGTTATATTGGATGAAGTAGATAAAAATCTACGAACCAAAGGTAACAACTAGTTCGAGGTGAATTCCCTACATTTAAATAATCAAAAAACATGCCTATTACGATTTCATCCTAGACAAATGAAAATAGCCAGTTTCAACTTGAAAATTGATGATGAAATTTTTCCGTGCTCTACGATGAAGTTTTTAGATGCACACTTGAATGAATTTCTCAGCTGGAAAATTCATTGTGGAAGAATTATATCAAAACTGAACTCCATGAATTATCTTCGTCATATTCTACACCAAAAACAGCTGATTATGCTGTATCCGTCTTCGGTATGGCATTACTTTTTTGGGGAGCATTCTCCTTATGCAAAGATGTTTTTGTCGCGCAGAAAAGTATTATAAGATGTATATCAGAATTCTCAAGAAATACCAGCTGTAAAACTCTTTTCAAAAATTTCAAAATACTATATTCGTATATAGTATATATTCGAATTACATGTTTTTATATATGATAACCGTAATTGTTTCATGTGAAATGAAAATGTGCATTCTTTAAATACTAGGTGTAAGACATACTTTCATGTGCCAAATTGTAAAAATGCACTGACTTACAATCCCCCCAATGTGATAGGCCTCAGATTATTCAATTTGCTACCCCTTGATCTGAAAAACTCTGGTAAGTACTATCCACTGTTTCAAAAGTACACTTGAGCCTTTCTTACTAGAAAAACTATTACTCACTTCAGGAAATGATCGAATAGTAAAGTGAGTAGTAAAGTAAATTTTATTTAGGTAAGCATAAGTAGTCTACAATATGCATTCAAAATTGGAACTAGATAACTTGAGAAACTATAAAAATAAGAAAAGAACTAAATAAAATTAGAAATTTTGAGTCCAGGCTGAGCTACCTAAGCAATACCTGTGTTGTAGTCATCAACCTGGATTGCATTGATTATTTACATACTGAGTGGTGAGTAAAAAGAAGGAAAAAAACAAAGTGAAATTCATTGTGAGGGAGAGAGAATACGCTTATTTATTGTATTTTGTATTTCTTATTATTCGTGTTCGTATACGGTTTTTTGTTTGTTATAATTTTGATTCACATATTCTTTCAGTTTTGATTTCATTTT